TTTAGACATGTTCAATCACGCGTGAAACGCTAGTTGCGCTACGCCAATGAAATAAAGAGAATAGCAATGATCAAATGTGAATGGTGGATCCTTCGTTGAAAACTGGCTCATCAAATTGACCGGTGGTCCATCCCTGGAGCACCGCTAGCCCAATTCTGTGCATATTTCATTTATCTCTGGTCTTAACTTCGTACAAAGAATAAATACGTTGTTTCTGAGATGCCAAACTCTATCAGCGATGAGAGGAATTCATCAGGAAATCAACAATTCTTGGCAAATGAGGAGTAGAACGCATCTCTGAAAGACGGGTAGCAGGAAACGGACAGCTGTATACAATTTTAAACTAATTACCATCTGCATAAGTCTGACAGAGAACACTTGTAGCCAACTAGTCTTCCTGTAGTTCTGCGTTGTGAAATCTGCCCAGACATGTAATTTTCATATGTCGAACTCTACAAAGATAATATACGACTTTAGATATGGATTCCGCGGCTGAAGTTACAGAAAAATTCTACAGATGTTAAAAACTTCATCAATACATTCATTTTAAAATCTTGACGATTCATTCAGCATGAAATGAACGACATTTTTTAACATGACTGTATGTCACAAACGATTCTTTTCCATCTATTCATTGATCCTAGAAGCTAAGGTATAATTTTATGATCAGCTTTATGGAGTACGTAGAACATAAGTAGGTAACAAATATGTCAGCCTGTGACTGCAACTGTTGTGCTGTCTGACTGCTTAACAACGCTTCACGCGTTCACTCTAATTCGGTGCGCAAACACTTACTATGGCAGAAGCTGAGCTTTTATAAAGCAAAGACGAAGTCGAATGCACGAAGTGCAGCGCATCGCAGCTTGCTACAGAAAAGTCAGCGTTTACGGAGCGGAAGAGCATCGCAACTGTCAAAGACCACGGTTCACTGACGCAAGGGATCAACGATCGACCAGATATAACTAATTATTATAATGCGGTTAACGGCTTGATTCTCCATCATGTTCATTTCGAGAGTTAAATAGACTGGTAGAGTGAATGCTTTCTGTATTTCTGGCACCACGTATGATGGGTTTTATCAGTGTCTGGTTATAAAATGCTTCTTAGTCTTGGAGACCTTCACCACCTAAAACTAGAAAAACCACCGTTCTTCGCTCCCGTGCATCACAGCCTACTTCCGTTTTACTAACCTTCCCCTAGCTCACACACATGATATGAAAGTTACATTAGACTTATTTGTCTTTTTGAGAGAAAAACATTTACAAAGTCTTTTTGAGAGAAAAATAGCATTTTTTGAACTGGAGCTGCATAACACCAGTGGTGAATTTTCAAGCCACTAAAGTCCTGGTCACATTCAGGCAAGAATGTTACTAATGGAAAATGAAAAACAACATTAAACAAGATTTATTAATATACAACGTACAAATATTATGGTCAATTCGATGACTGACCAGTAATGCCGTAGAGGTTTATGATTTTTTATTCACGAGCTTTCTTGAAGATAGGAGTTTAGTATATTTTCGAAGTCTTTCTTGCTGTCTACAGAGGCTAGTAGGTTTGGAGCCAGAAAACAAACTTTTGGTCTGCGCTGCTGATTAAGCTGTTTTGGGAGATAAGGTTCATGTAAAATGCGTGGAGTTGGCATCTTTTTATGGTTGACATCATCGCAGGACTGGATGAGCCTTTTCGCCTCTGTCGCCATAAAACCATTTAACTGGTGAAAAGATTCAAAGCTCACCTTCTGGCTCCAAACACACCAAATTCTACGGGCAGTAAAAATCTCAAAATCATCCACAACCTCCAACCTTGATGAAGAACCGCGAGACACGAGTCCAAGGGTTGGCAGTGGTCAATCATTTGATTTCGCCTAGTTTATTAATATGCAGATATATGTTGTTCTTCTGTATGATCGCAAACGTACTAAACAAATTCTCTGTCTATGAGTCATAAGGAATTAGTCTATAGCTCCGCTAAGAGGTGAAAAGATTAAATTTATAAAAATAGGTTAAAAGTTAGTAGGGAAACAACTGCCCAAAGTAAGATGTGTTAGATTCTAATCTTGAATGTTAGTAAACCATATAACTTGCCCAAGTTTCAAACTAAATTCGATCACCCTCTCCATTGCGCTACAAATCTACGATAGTCAGCTATCAGGTGGATCAAAGGAACTAAAGCCCCAGGGGGCTCGCATCATACGGCATGGTCATACCTCTGAGACCAGCCTATCCTGATATTACCAAAGCATAAAACGATGCTGTCCAACGGTACGCTAGCCATTTCTGAGTCAACTGAATAGAAGAAATGTTAGGAGAATACCGTGCTCAAATGAATTACGGTTGAGAGAATAACATCTTTTGGGATTCGAACCCTGCACTGCTGGTGTTTGAAGCCGATCTCAAACCACCATGTCACCGCACGTCATATGCGTACGGCTGTGAAAGTCTGTTCTTTCGAAGGGGTATTTAAAAACTACAGAAATTAAAGCTCGCTGATTACGAGACATATTACCTAAATGCAAACTGCAATTCGTAAAACAACTGTTTTATAAAAGAGCTACTTAAATAATTAAATTTTTTCGAACTGCCTTAAATAGCCCAGAAAGCAGCAAACCTTCGTAGTACCGGGGAAAGAAAAACTTCAGAAATTCAATTCGCTAACTTGTAGGTTAAAAGATAAACGTTTTACTAGAAACGAAACCTTATATTTATAAAGTTAACATTTCAGGAAATTAAAAATAGAAACGTGCTGAAAACAGCAAACAAAGGCATGAACAGCTTGATTGAGAAACGCACAAGATTAGAACATTACGAGGTTAAGTAAGCCCCGTCATTTTAACCGGAACAAAGAAACTGGAGGCAAATAACAAAAGCAAAAACATAACAGTCTAAGAAAACTAGCAGCAGTTTCAAGGGAACAGTTCCCATTTTACCAGTAATTGTATAGTGCAAATTTCGAATTGATCATTTGGGCAATGCTATAGGGCAATAAATACATGGTTAACCCAGCAAAAAAGCCACATTAAGTCATTCGAAGTATTAAGTCCATTCTTGCCAGTCTAACAATTCGGCCATAAAGAGAAACGCACCGTTCACCGGTAATCGCTTACGCTTTACAAGCAAATCAGAATAAAGCTGATCAGCACTACAACATTATCGCAGTATAAGCAATCTGTCAAATTTCATGCGAATTAGCATGAATGAGCATGTTTCGAACTTTCGCTCTGTACCCCATAACGCCGAGGCATCCTAACAGAAATAAATCAGCAACGGATACCGAACTACAAAGGACACCTAAATACATTCATTCAGCGATGATAGAAACAGTAACCAACCTGATCGATAAGTATTACGCATTGTTACCCGACTGCAGCAATTCTACAGTGTCTGTAAGCCAGTGGTTGAATGTCCTGTGAGAGTCATTTTAAACGCGATGGCATTTACTAGTTCAAAAAATGCAAATATTTAAGATAAATTTATAAACCTGTAGAGACGCTAAACTTTACATTCAGTTCTTGCATTGAATCGCATGAATGCATAATTTTAGGGTTATCAGCACTGATGTTACGAACAGTGTTACAGGTTGAAAGTTTGGGCCACATTCTGCAAAATTATTTTGCTTCGATATTGAAGGAATACTTTTTGACTCTACTGAAAAATACGTTTGGTTTACACGTTCATGAAAGGTAAATAAGCCCCTAAAATCGTTGAATTAGAAATTTATTCTTTATTTTAATCAATGATAGCTCTGTAGACTCAAAAGTGCGCAACATAGACTGCTAGGTGGAGTTAATTGACATGCAAAAGTTATGCACACTATCATTCAAAATGTTTTACGATAAACTTCCTTTGTTTGCTGTCGTATATTTGCACTTCAATGCGTTCTGAATCCCGCTAGTCGTCGCAGGTAGGGAGTAAATTCTTTCCTCAAGGGAAATTTTTTGCTTCGATCGTTGCAGCTGTGTCGTTAAGAGATCACATTTTACCTCTGCATCGTCGTATTTATTATAAATGAGATTGAAAATGTGAACGTCGTACATTGACATCATTGCTCTGTATGCCACTGAAGCTCATTCGAAACATATTTAATAGGAAAAATGCTGCGTGCCCACTGAATAATTTCACTAATTACATCAGGAAACTTCTCGAACGAGAGTGATGGAATATCACTCTGATATATTACATTGGTTAACAAGGCGCCGATATTTCAGAATTCCTACTTCATTCGCCCATTCAATCCTTATCAGTGAGATCGGCATGTCTTCAGCATGAGTGAGTAAGCACAGGTTGTCATAGGTGAAATACTAAGTACCTGACCGAAAAATGGAACAGCTGTTCTCAATAAACGATTAATAATCGTTCAGAAATGATGGAAAAAGGTGAGAGTCCCGATTTTTATCAGCGAATTAAAGTACAGCAAGACAGCTGAAACCACAGATAACTGAATGTCGTGATCATTAGTTAAGTACTTGCTTTCCAGGTTCAATGGAATGATCACGACCTTGTTTTTGATAAGAGGCGAACAACATACTGATGCTCAAAAATTCAACGAAATTATTAAAACCACTGGAATATTTGCCATATTTTACTCTGCACAGCAATGTTCATTTAAGGTACCGTCAAAATTCAACTGTTCTCGTCAGTGGTTGAAACTACATTCATTAAAAAAGCTCTGAAAAGCTTTCTCACAAGAAAATCTTTCCAATCAAATGGTAACAACAGATCACTCAACGATTTTCATAGGGGCAATTTCAGTCACGCAACGCGACCGCGACTCGAACTTCGGTTAACATTGAATTTAAGCTCTTAAAAAATAGTAATTTTTTCTGCAGTATGCGTTCCGGTATTCCTGCTCTAGATTGGCGGTGTCATCGTTCGTTCATTAGCAAAGCATTTAACGACTTTGTTTGATATACGTTAGGATATTTGCATTCACAGAATGAGTATGAAACAATTTTTTCATTCATAAAAAACAGTTTATAAGTCAACAGGTTTGGTACTGTTTCAAAAATGCCAAACGATTCCATTTTTGAAAGCAAACGACTGGCCAGATTTTAAGGTCGGTTTCACGACCAGTGGCACCATAATACCGTACTTGACAACGATGACGAGGATTGAACTAATGAGAATAGCTGCATTAACCAACCAAACTATTCTTGGACCACTGTTTTGAAAGATGTACCTAAATGATTTTGAGCATTAAAATCAAAAGAGAAATTAATGCATAACAACTACAAATTTATAACCTAACACACGGGGTTTTGGGAATGCACCGAGATATGCGGTGCTGTGGTAGTCACCGCAGTTGCAGGTTCTCGTACAAAGTGCATAAATGGGTAGAGGCACCAACGAATTCTAATTTAGGATTCATGTAAACTTTCAGATTTGGACACAGATTCTTTTTATGTTCAAATAGCAATTCTTTATAGCAGCGTAGCAAATCTGAAATTACATTGTCATGATGGGTCCAATCAATCGAGCGAAACTTCCTGTCATGATGAGTATGCTTTGCATCATTGCCTAAAACCAGTCATTTACAGATCATGACTAAAAATCATGGTCAAAATGTAGCATGGGCACTTATCTGTGGTCGAGGTCCTAGAACGTTCGAGTAAAGCGTTGAAAGGGCAACATTCACCGGCGGTATGCCAAGAAAAAGAAGAGGAAATGACGAAATATACAGGATCTGTGGTATTGGTGGCGTCCATTCGCACCATCTGAAATCATTTGGGCAGCCGACAAGTTCTTTTTGTCCATCATCACTCGCAGGATTATGATGAAACAGTGAAGATGTCTCTGAGCCGATGGTATCATTTCCTGAAATATTTTTTACACCGTAAGGAAATTTTGAATTTCACCAATTATTCGAACAGTTAACTATCGAATGTTCAATTCACTCACGGTGCTTCTGATATTGCAATTTTCCAGGCAAAAACCAATAAGAATATGTAAGAACTAAAAACAGCAGTTGTATGGACAAGCCGAAGATGATCGATGCCCTCTTTTCGACCCTGAAAACAGTGATCTGATAACATCGTAGTATAAAAAGCATTAGTAATTGCTACTTATCGCCCTTCCACGCGTAGAGAATATATATTAAGAGAGCCAGAACTGCGGAGCAGCCCATCATTAAGCTGGTATAAAACGTCGTTTCGCTGTGAGTCCAATTAAACATGATCATCGCAAACGGGCTTCCAAGCCTAATGAAAAACAAAATTAACGCAAAATAATGAATATAACTACTAATTACTCAGTAATTATCATAAACTGATGGAATGTCACAGGTTAAAATTATAGTGGTGAAGGATCTATAATCCCACTTATAGCGAAGGACCTATAATCTTTCACAGATACCTTTTATAATGTCATCGCACAAGCAAATCAAAAACTGCGCGTTCGCAGAACATGCACAAAAGAGGCAGTTGTCACGTGACAGCTGACATTCATCGAGACAACTTTTGTCGTGTGAGCTTCTTTTGTGAAGGGTTTGTCAAGTAATTCAGAATGGAGAATAAAGTTGTACGATCAGACAGCGACTCTTCTCATCCAGATACGAAGAAAAACATTCAAATGACTGAAAGGATGTCCACTCAGCGTGCTGCCACACATGACGCAGCGGATAGAATCAGAACGCTTGAAGAAATCGTATCTGAAGATCGGTCGCATATCCCAGAATTGTAAAACAAACAGGTCCGAAGCAAGTCCAATTGTCCGCCAGGCAGCAGCACTGTGGACTTCAAACAACAATCGATGGCGGAAGGATGAGCCTAACCGAGGAGCACCTGCTTCCAGAATCAATGCTACAGAGGTTCTATGGCGACGAGCGAGGTTCCTCGTTCATAGAATGGAATGCGAAGTAGCGCTATTTTCGCACGGACGTCGTCACCAGAGGAAGAGACGGAGGTCTACCGAGGTACGAAAG